GAAGTAGCCTGACTGTAAAAATTAAATCCTCCTACGATGCTACACAAGTATTTTAACAAACAAGGTAATGAGGGGAAGACTAACCTGTGACATTACATGTGTATTTTGAAGAGCAACACCCCATTCCTGCTGCAGGAGGTGTGGGGAAGCCTGGGCAGGACTGGTGGCACTTGGTGAGCTCCAGGTGAACTGGAGCACATGGGTGGCTGCAGGGCATCTGCTGGGCACTGACTCTTGCCCCTGGTGCAAACTCCACATTCAGCAGGTTAGAAGAGGATCCTGGGGCTGGTGGTGGAGAGGGCTGGGCAGCCTGCAGGGTGCTGGCAGGCAGACCCTAAACTGTGTGTGGGAGAGGCTGGCAGAGCCCAGTTCCTGCTTTCCTTGCCTGGCTGTTCTCTTGCTGGTGATCTGGCTGCATGCCTGGCTCGGGTACCTGAGCACCTTGGGTACCTCGGGTGCCTCCACGTCTGTGTTTTTGCTTATTTTTGGTGAACTGTGAGCTGACACAGTAAACTATCAGTCAGCTGAGATTAAAATTACCAACTTAACTCCTGAGCATGATGGCCCTGTTGTGAGGGTGCTGCAAAATATTCTGTGGTGACTTTTGTGTGACCCAGTCACGGTGACCTTGCTTGTTAAATGCCACTTGCTCTTCCCAGCAGCTCAGGTAATCACCTGCCAGGTGTTGCTGCTGTAGACAGACACAGCTCATGACCACAGCTCCAGCTGTGCCCAGCTGTGCTGGGTTAGGCAGAGGCAGAAAAGGCTTTATCAACACAGGGGAGTTGGTGCTTTGACACTGGCAATGCTATTTGCCTTCCTAGAGCTCTTAGTCACGCTCAAATGTTGCATATAGCTGTGCTCATTGGGGAGATGACAGACATACAGGGGGAGGGAGACAGAATTGTTCTGCTGTTATTGACCTAACCAAGCAGTTACAGCATACAGTATGTGTCTGTATATTAGTACAACCAGCAGCAGAGCCTTCAGAGACAGACCCTGCCCAGTGGAGCCACCTGCCCCTGCTCCTTCAATGTTTTCTGTGGGCTGAAAGTGGCTCTGAGATCTTGCTCCCAATTCAGAGATGTGCAGAGATCTTTTGCACCTGTGTCAGCATCTGTACTGTGGTGGATGCTGACCCTCTCCTGTAGCACAGCCCTTGGGACTTGGTGCCACAGAGGTCGGAAAGTGAGTTTGGCTCCAGAGGAGTTGACAGGTTTCAAATGCAGTAAGTACTGTTTAAACTAAACAATCCTTGTAAACAAGGAACTTTTATGCTGAAAGCTGTACTGGAAGAGGCTGGGAAGGATCTTTTATTATTGGCAGAAAAGTTCAGAGGCAGCTCAGAGGCAGAGGTCCTGGTACCTATGCATTACATCTGCTTTAATTTGTAAGGTAAAATCTCCACATCGAACTGAGTCACAGTTCAAAGGTCACCTGAGTTTATGACTGACCTTCCCGTGGGGTTCTTATGTAAGATCACCAGATGAACACAGGACAGTACAATACAGTAACTGAAACTTTACCTTTGGAGTTTCTTAGGGCTGTACGCTCAAGGCTGTGTCTTGAACATATTCCCATGTTTTATCATTATTGAGTGCTTATTTGAGAACTGTTGTGAGTCTGTTGTCAAAGGGGTGAACCTTACAGAAATTACAGCACAAAGCAGTTAATGCAAATTATTCAGTGGCATTCAATCCTCATGTGGTTTTCTTGGTTTCCTAAACAGGAAATGATCAACATACATGAAGAGCCTTGGAAGGCAGTGTCATGGCCATGTTCAGGGCAGGTGAAGGATACCTGTCTCCTCTGTTCCTTCAGCAATGATCAGCCTGGACTACATGAAGATCAGGGATGTGGCTTACAGAGTCAGAACGGTGTTGGCACAGTCCTTTCTATCAGGAAATTCTGAGAGGCTGTGTTTCCCAGGGATGGAAGGTGAAAACTGGAAGTGCCAGAGCCAGGCTCCCATTCAGGTTTCAGTCTGGCTCTGCAGTCTCAGAGCCCAGTGTGTGCTCTTGTCTCAGCCACTGACACAGTTGGGGTGGTGGGAAAAAAGCCTAAATGCTTCCTTCCCTTTATTTATTCCCTTGAGAGCACTGTGGATCCACTGGTCTGGCACAGCTTTAGGAGGAATGTCTGTGTGTGCCTTACTCTGAGAGACACCAACCCCTCAGGAAGCCTGGTGTGGGCAAGGCAGTGCCAGGAGGCAAAGGCTGGTACCTCTGGGTGTCTCGTGGGCAGAACTGCCATCATGTGGCCAAAGTGCCACAGGTGCCACCTCGAGAGGCAGAACACTCGTGGTGCTGAGGAGCAGGGTGTGCTGAGACACGTGCCTACATTCACAGCCAGTCCAGTCTTTGGGATAAGTCAGGAAATCAAACAGGGAAAAAAACCCACCTCTTTTTCCAAGCTGAAATGCAAAGTTATAAATACTAAACTCCTTCAGCTACAGCAATCCAATAGGAAAAAAAAGAAATGTACTCTAATGATGATTTTCCATCTGGTTTTAGCATCAAACAGAAGCCTATTCTTGGATTCCTGCTCTCTCTGCAAACAACTCAGCTTGCACTCAAGTGAGTTGGGAGTTCATGATACTTAGGCTAGCCTGAGCTCGTGCTCTGTGCCTTCCCACAGCCAGGAGTGCTTTTCAGGCCAGGTCCTTTGATGGGTGCCCTTGCTCTGTCCTGGTCACACTGCTACTGGGGACACAGTGTCACTTAAAGACACCACTTAACTGCTCCCTCATAAGAAGAATCCAGTTCACATTTCCTCAGCAGTGCTTTAGGTTAAGCATCTATTCCATATGGAAAAGTGTAGCAAGGAAAAGAGAGGAAAAGCAAGAGCTTTGAGAGGAATGGGAAATACCAGTTTGAGGTGAGGAAAGGGAAGGTTGTGGAAAGAAAAAGAGAGAAACAGATGCTTCAAGAAACGGGAAACACAGATGGTACCACAAGAGAGCTGACTGTGGTCACACCAGTCCAGTGATCTCCTTCATTTGTTAAGTAAAAACTCTTTAGAAGTGGCTCTACCAGTCAGCTGTTTTTTCTAGACATGAGAGAATTTAGCTCTTTTGTCATAATTACAAAAAATACAGCTATTCTTCCAGTCTCTGGTGCCTCACACAAGGTTCTCTAAGTCACTGGACACAGAGCAGTTTATTTGCCAAAAGGACAGGCTGGGTAGCCCATATAGATGGGAGTGAGGCTGGGGGTCTGTATGGGAATATGGGGGCAGAGCTGAGAATGACCTTGGTCACATCCAGCACAATGGTAGGCTGGGCCTAAGAGCTCAAGTGCATTGCTGAGGCTTTCCATATGACCTGTGCTGAGCTGCACACTGGCTTTGGAAACTAGAGCTAGCCCTGGATCAATGATCACTGGTGAGAATTTAGCAACATCTCCCAAAACTCTGTTTAACAACATCCTGATGGTGTATGTTACTTGCAAAGGCAATGAATAGGGAGTGCATCCCCTGAAATTTGTTACGTCTCCTCTGATAGTCATTAATATTCAAAGGATGCTTCTCTTTTAGCTTAACTGAGCTCCCTTTTGAAGTAGCAGAATCTCCGGTTCTAAAGAGTTTCAGCTTTAGGAGAATGGTAACAGAATGAAGGACATTGGGGACTGTGCAACAGATTCTCATTTCAACCCTCTCTAACTGCAAGAAAAATTCTATCCCACAAAATGAGCTAAGCAGCTTACCAGGACAGGGCCAGGTAATCTAGACAAACTACAATAATGCTAAGTGTCTCTGCTTTGTGATTTCATGTTTTATTCCCCCATTAAAAAAATCACTTCCTTAAGAAATTTCACCTGTAAAGAACAAAATAAGAAGTCCTTCAGCAAAGAAAAACCCCTGCAGTGTTGGACAACCAGGACTTCATCTGAAAATGCAGCCAGACTTCTTCTTCAGAGGATGAGTAGCAGGGCTGGGGGTGCCCATGGGGTGCACATGTAGGTGTAACTCCTGGTCAGAGCCGGGTGTCTCTCGTTTGCACAGAAAAATTAGATGTGCTTTCTGAGTGCTCCAGGTGTTGCACCACACAGGCACTGAACTGTTCGGCTTTAAAAATGCCCTGGAGTGAGTTTATGCCCTTAATCAACTCGAGCATCTCTGTTGCTATCATGAATCATTAAAAACCTCATTTGCAACCCCAAAAGCAAAACTGTTCTCAAAATTAAGTAGAGCTCCCCAGCTCCATACTCAAATGAGATAAAAGCGGCAGGGCTCTGGTGATGGATGGCTCCCTTTTATCATCACCAGGAGCGACTGTTTGCTTAGGAGAGGGTCTTTGATCTTACCTCCCGTTTTTAAATGTGGCAGAAACAAGCAATCTCCCAAAGAAGACTGATTTCATGGAGACTTCCTGGCTCACAGCATGGCCTTGCATGTTCTATTTAATATTACGTTACTACATTTTCAAACTGTTTAGAGGTTACTTCAGTGCAATTAAACTAATTCCAGAATTGAAACACAGCAGTTTGAGGGCTGCTAGTTGTGGGGTGCAGAGAGGGAATTTCTAAAGCATTTACCAACTTTCTCCTGTGTCCTAAGTAGATTTTTGGGTGATGCATGTGAAGGACTTTGCTTGCCCAGAGATCAAAGGACCAGGCCCCTGCAGGATCCATGGAACCACAGGAAGTCATTTCCACATACAAAATGCTGTGTGCATTAGAAACAGCCAGACAAGAATCGCTTTTACAAGATTTTGCAATGGAAGACAACTTATTCACAGGAGTTTTAGAGACTTTATTTATGTATAAACAATTTAAACACTTTGCCATAAATTATCTTTGCCTGTCTCTAGTCTTTGCTTAGCAGCAAATTAAAATTAATATAAAAACTCAATGAACAATTCATACATGTATATTACAAAAAAGTTCTTGTACCAAAGTTCTTATTAGACTTTTTTCTTTTCTTTTCTTTTTTTTTTTTTTTTTTTTTTTTTTTTTTTTTTTTTTTTTTTTTTTTTTTTTTTTTTTTTTTTTTTTTTTTAATTTTTTTTTTTGTGGTGACCGTAATGTGATTGTCTCAGTTTCTCGACCAAACAAACACACTAATAATTTTTAAATCTGAAACAGTGATTGTGCCTTCTGGCTGATGTATGTACAGGGTGATCTGACGTGGTGCCCATTTGCAATAGTGTAACACAATGCCCACAGCTCTACTGGAACTGATACCAACAAACTACTGAATCTAAACAGACTACACCCTGTAACTGTGTTATACTGTCCACAATGGAAATCTTCAAAGACAAACAGAGTATGAAATTTATCTGTAGTGATTTATAGCCACCATTTTGAATGTAACTTTACACTCTGCCCTCTTTGAATAAGTTAAGCTTCAGGCTAGACAAGTGGAGGGTCAGAGTGCAAGTGTGGTTTTGTTACTTTTAAATATATTTTCCTTTCCTATTTCCAGTGCGCTCTCACTTGCGTTTCATTTGTCCTCCAGTTGCTACACACAAATCACCCCAAAGTCATGTTTTAAATGCATCTGTATTTTGCTTTAAATGAAAACCTCTTTGATATTTATCAAACAAGCAGTCTGAATCATCTGTGTTTCATCAGCTGGTTAGTGAAAGTGGCCCACTTGGATTTCTTAGTTTGCTCACGTGTGAATGGAGTGAGGTAATACAATACGAGGCCTTCTTTTTGTTTCTCTTTAGACCCAGAACAAGTGGGTAATATTTCAGGGGTACTTTTAAATTTGTACGGTTAAGAGTTTTCAGTCTGGCTTTAGTCCACTTCAGGATGTGGTTTTTAATCTCTTGAACAGTAGCATTTAACTCAAAAAATATGAGCTTTTTTGCCACTTACTATCCCAGAGTAGCTCAGCCTAGTGCCCCCATTTAGGTCTTCATCTCCTTAGGAGAGGAGATAACAGTTACGACTACTGATTCATCCAGCAAAGGATGACAGCAGGTTAATTTGTTACCTCTTTCCCATTTCATTCTGTCTTAAAAACTGGATGTTGCTGCTACTGTCTGCTAGCTCTGGGTACTGCTCCACGGGCAGGACATAATATCCCTCGTAACCTTGAACCCTTCCCGTGTTGAGGAGCTGCTGCCTCTCTCCGTCTGTCCATACGCGGCTGCCCTCGCGTCCGTCCCGCACCTTCTGCTGCTCCTTGGCCCAGGCTGCGGCCAGGGCTCGCTGCCTGGCCTGCTCTAACACTCTGGCCTTCTCCTCGTCCAGCGTGTCGGCGCTCAGCCCGTAGCGGATGTTGATCAGCAGGGTGGAATACTGAAACTCCACGTTCGTAAACCTTCGAGTCCTGCCGCTGACGAGGAGCGTGGGCTGGGACACGGTGACGTTGATGCCGCTGTCCAGGACCTTCCTCCCGCTGGTCATGGCCAGCGTGACCAGGTCGCTGTCGGCCGAGCCGACCTTCACGAAGTAGTGTGTGTCCCTGCCCTCGATGCTGTAGTGCATTTTCTCCAGGTAGTGAGCGCCGTTCAGGACGGAGGCAATTTTCCTGCTGTCGTCTGTGGCTATGCTGGAAACACCGGTGGTTACACGGCCTTCCTTCACGGCAAACATGATTCCTTTCCCCACGATGGGAGTGCTTGTGGCAAACCAGTGGCCTGCTTTTTCTCTAATTTTGGCATGTAATCTTTTAGATATGACCTGTCCCTCCAGAGCCATGAAAGCCTGGTTGTGTCGTTCTGTCGTCTGCTGCACTCCTGTAATTAGCTGGGGAAAGCAAAACAAAACAAAACAAAAAAACACCAAAGAAGATGCAGATCTGAACATACTCATTTCACAGACCAATCTTTGCTTTGTTTTTTTAAAGGAAAGGCATGCAGAGAAAAATCCTACACTACAAAAGACCACTCTCAGTTATCCATCCATCATCCATCCATCCATCCATGCATCCATCCATCCATCCATCCATCCATCCATCCATCCATCCATATCTTGCTCAGAATCAGGTAAACACTCATTCAGGAAATTATTTTGCCATCTGTAAGACCAAATAAAGTACTTTTCATCACACTCTGTAGCATATATGCACCACACATTTCAATTTTGGCCAATCATATAATGCCCAGAAGAAAAATAAGAAAGACCCAAGTCTAACACAATTTTAATCAGAGCTGAAAACAAACAGAATCAATGTATTAAAAGGTGGCATTTAACTTTTGGAGACTTTTTCCCAGAGATTTCATCCAGTATATATAACTAAAATGCTTATGAATATAAGCTCTTTTGAAAATAGATGAAATGTGGGCCCAAAAGCACCAAAGCAATTCCTGAAGAGGGGGTTTAGACTCTCAAATGACTTAGAAGCCTGAGAAAGTGGTATGTGTTTAGGTTTATATGATTATTTCTATTGTATTACCACAAAGATGAAGTAAGCCTAGCTGAGTATTTTAGAATACTCTTTGTTTTGGAATTAGCCTAGTACTCTTCTGCAGTTTATTAAATGGGTTGGAATTTATTATAAAAGTTAAACCCATATATTGTTGTCCACCCTTAACCTGACAAATAAGAATGAATGCTGTAACTGAAGTTACGTGGAGTAGCAAATCAAAACTCTAACTAGAAAAATGACAAATCGTGGTAAGAAAACCTCTTACAGGGTGAGAAGTAGAACCCTTTTTTACCAGTAAAACAAGTTTATTGCAACACATTATTAGGATGGTTTTACCAAAGGTACAACAGATGATAAATTACCCTGACAAAGTCTCCCTTTGTCATTGCTAATCAAGTTAATCGAGTTACAACTTGTTAATCAAGGAATAACTCAGTAAAAGACAAACTAATGACACTGTAATTATGATAACAACGAAGGCTGGCAAGAAAGGGCATATGTTCATTAGTATAAAGTGTAGCTATACTCACTTCACTTTACACTGAATTAAGTGTAAGCTTGGCCTTCTGCTCTAACTGCAGAAGAGCCAGTGATTCTATCCACAGAGCGGGACAAATTTATCCAAAAAAGTAATTTAATCTTTCTGCCTACCTGTCCATTTTCACACGCTTGACTCTCAGACAGCTCGTATGGTGGTGACACAAAGTACATTTTTGCTCTAGGGAAACCAGGAATGATGTTGCTAAGCTGAAATCCAAACATCACCAACCAGCTCTTGACATCTAAAAATCAAAAGAAAGCAGCTAAATAAGAAACACATATGTTTAACAAATAGAGGAAATAAAAAAAAAAATAGGAAATCCATCTTTGACATCCTTCATTTCAAGTAAATGCAATTGAAGTCACAATTAATATTATACTGTGGAACTTTACAGAACTACAGCAATCCACCATGAACAGGCACAGGAGAGACTGTGTTAAATTTACCCTAAATAATTAATCAGGGACATACCAGCTCTTTCATTCTTCTCCATTAGAGCACATGAATTATCCAAACATTTTACAGAATACACTGCTTGTTCCATCTTTGACACCTTCTGATGTGGCTACTATATGTAACCTATAAACGGTATTGTATAATGATATTTTATTAGGTTAACACTCTAAAAACATCTGCAAAGTCCTTTGGGGAAAGATATGGCTTCTCTTCTATGTCCTATTTCTATCAGCTGTCATCAGGTCTCAGGAGACTCCATTAAATGCAGTGAGAAGCTAGATTTGTAAATCAGATGTCTAAATTTAGGCACCAAGAATATCCTCCCCATCCCTCCAGGGAAAGTGGGAGCTGTGTGGGAGGGTTACAGCTCAGCTCTGAGGTGAGCTTCAGCAAGTTCCAAGTGTGGTTTCAACCACGAAAACTCTGTCCTCCGTTCTAACTGTAAAAGCTAAATAACTAAGTTAATAACAGTAATTCTCACTCAACAGGTATTAAGAACTAATTATGTATTTTAGTTATCCAAATGATAACTCTTTTAACAAAAAGGAGTCCATGACTCCATTTTACATTTCCTGTTCCCTGAATTCATAATCATTTTTGCTTAAAAATCTCTCCTGTCTTTCCCAGTGACCATCTCTCCTCGCTGGCCTACACTGGCTTCTGATGCTGCCATTGCCACTTCTGTGAGCTGATCTGTTGCAAAGCCTGTTCCCCCAAGAGTTTTTTTTTTCCTTAGCCATTCTGACTCTACAATAAGTAATAAAATACTCTGCCTTTATGAAGTATCTGTATCCATCTCCCATCACACAATGCCTACTGTATTTTTCCTGAATCTTAGGCTCAAGCACAGGGTTACTGCTCCTTATAAGGCTTCAATTTTACTTATGGTAAAATGGTGTATCTTGAACAATTCACTTCAGCTGCTCTAATTCCACAGAAACCAGAGAAGGACCTGTGTACAAAACAGTTACTATTTTGCTGAGCTAATGTGCTTTGCAGCACTGCACTTGCTACAGGAATTTGTTTTCAGCAAAAAAGCAATGTCAGGGATTAACAGTAAGAATGGACTGGGGGGGAGGGCTTTTAGTGTTTTTTTTTGTTCTATTTTTTTTTTTTAAACTATGACAACAAAGGTGCCACCATAACCACTTCTTGTCAAAGATAATCTGTTTAGTCCTACAGCAACAAATATTTGCATCACAGATAAAGTTTTTTTACAGACTGAAAGGTGTGCATTGTCCTTGAATGCAATGTATCTTACAAGATTTCATCCAGTAGATGGATAAATTAAATAAATTTAATTTCAGAATGCAGCAAAACACAGTAAGATGATGTTGAAAACCAAAATCAAAGGGTGGTGGATGAAAATAGGACTTTTGTTGAATTTAGGACAACGGGGTAATTTTAGTCACCAATATTTTCACACTATTAGATACGAATCACATTATCTCCTAATTGCAAAGTAGCTCCTCTAGAGCCTGTAGTGTGTTACACCTACTATTAAGTTGCAATGTACTAATGAAACTTGCTACGATTTTCTTTGAAAGAAATGCACACTTTTCTTGAAATTCAAATTACTGCTAAAATTAAGATCGCTCCTTTTAAAAAATGATATCACTACTCTAATTATTGTATACTGCATATTCAGTTCTGAAAAAAAGCTTTTCCTGAAGACATATTAATTACCTTTCCTTTTACAAACTGCCAGCAGCTAGTTCAAGTACTGTGTGATGTTACTAAGTGATAAATTATTCCTAATTAAGAAAGGGTTACAAGTTTACCCAATTCCAACATATGTGATCAAAACTTCTTTTGTTTCTTGGCTCTACACAATCCATAACATTTATTAGTCTTTCAGGATGAAATAATCTTAAAAAAATCAAGGATTTAATTTTAAAGACTAACAACTGTTTGCATATTAAAAGTTAAATGGGAAAAAGAGGTCTAATTAAATCCATTCTTGGTGTTAAATCATAATGTGCCCATGGGCTCAGTCAGTAGTTAATTTTGAACGTAGCCCTGAAAGAAAGAGATCTGAGCAGTTCTGGTTTGTGGTTCTGAACCAACCTGCCAGTGACTTCACTTATATATGACTTCACTTTTCTTGATACAGAATTAGAATGAACACTTCTTTATACCCTACTAGTTTAATAGGAAGAGTACTATGGCTGTTCTGAAATGTTATATTCAGGCAAATGTACACTTATTTTTTTCCCTCCATAATTCATCACGGCTTTTCACTTAGAGCCCTTCATTCTGGGAAGAGCAGTACGAAGGAATCAGAAATATCCAGTTCTTTTCATAGCTGAGAGAGGAAAATGGCCCAAACTTGATGTGAGTATTGAGCAAAGGGCTCGTAAGGAGAAGCTGGATTTCTTTCCCAAATCAGCTTCCAAGCTGTAGTGTTATGTATTATAAATGTGAAGAAGGCTCACCTGTTACATAATTCTTTAGATCTAGTTCATTGCTGAGAGGGTTGTTACTCTTGAACATGTACAGATTGAAAGGAGCGGGTTCTTTGCCAATATTTTTCCACATGGTGTAATCAGGAGATGTCCAGCGCCCAGCCAGGACATCGTAGTCCCTTTGGGTAAAATGCACGAGTTTGGTTAAAGGATCATACAGGCCTCCATGGAACCCAATGACCAGCTGGAAATCTGGATTAGAGTCATAATAGATCTCCCCATAGGCCGTGTACTGGAGCTGTTTGATCATGAGGCCATTGATGCTGAACACGGCTAATGGAGTGCCTGTGTTATCAGAGGCCACGTAATACTCTTCCCCACTGCTGCTCTCCATTGCAAAGAGGTGGCCTTGCAGATCGTAGTACAAAGAGGTAATTTCGGAGTTGGAATGATTGTAGACGTGAGTTACCCTTGTTGGATTGTGAAGATCAGCATAAAAGTACTGTAGATGATGCCCCAGGTTGGTCTTGCAGGAAGCCCTTCGGCCCAGCCCGTCGTAGCGGTACTGAACACTCCAGCCATTTGCTTTGTTGTAAGCTCTTGTCAGGAGCCCTTTGGAGTTGTACTCAAACACGTCTGCACCCCGCTGCCACAGGAACCCGTCGTCATCGATCTTGTACGGGATGTCACCCAGGCGTGTGATCCTGTCCCTGAGGTCGTAGCGCAGCGGCATCAGTCGGACGCTGTTTCCAGGATTCAGCAGGTGGAGGTTCCCGTTCAGGTCGTAGCTGTAGCGCCAGGTGGGCCTGTCATTGACTGCCACGCTCTGCAGTTGCCCATCTCCGTCGTAGTCATAGGTGTACTTGGTCGTGTTGGCGTAGGGACCCAGTTTGAGCTCTCTTTTGGTCACCCTTCCCATGCTGTCGTACTGCACGGTCATCCAGTACATCAGGGACCGAAACATTTCGTACTGCACTTCCTTAATGCGCCCGTGGGTGTCAAAGTGCTTGCTCAGCGTCATAACTGCCGTGGTGATAATTTGGTTTATATCATAATAAATAACTCCAAATTTGCCAAAATGCTCCACTTTGCCAGAAATCTCATCGTAACGGTAAAGGTCAACTGGAAGAGGCGTCTCACTTATGATGGGTTTGATGCTTGCGATTCGGAAGCTGTTGTCATGATATGTATAATCAAACCTTGCATTGACCATTCCTTCTTCAGAGAACCTGTAGATTTGTTTGTCAACAAGAGGACCAATTTTCCGATAGCGAATCGTACAAGAAAATCCTCCACTTTGCAAATTCACCATTTTTAGGACACCTGTAGTTTCGTCATATCCAAAAGTAACAGCAGTGCTGTCATAAACAATTTCAGACAGCTTGGAGAGCTTCCCGTACTTGTAGAAGACTTGTCGGCCGGTACCTAAAAACGACGTTTTCAGAATCCTCCCATCGTCGCTGTAATCAAAGATGACGGAGGCGTTGCTCTCGGGGGGGTTGTAGATGTTCCTGATGTAGCCCACAGAGGTGTGAGTGGACATGCTGTGCCGAGCCACGCTGGGCATGGTGACGGCATGCAGGCGGTCCGAGGAGTCGTACTCGAAGATGTACTGACGCTGACTCTGCAGCAGCAGCACCATCGACTGCAGGGGACACAACAACAAAGGGTTACCAGCTATCAGCATGTGCCTGAGAGAGGGAACTGAAGAAAAGTTTACTGGAGAGGCACTAAAGTTAAATGAGTACAAAGAGAATCAGATACATTAGCCAGGGGCACAGAGGTGCTCAGGAATATTGTCAGGTTGCCAGATGAGAGGATCTGCTCCTTGGAAATCAATATGCTGGTGCTCCAGAGAAAGTGTAGGTTAGCAACCTGTGAGCTGTCCTCCCTGTAGGAGGACTTTTTGTTTTTATTTACCTTTTTTTTTTTTTTCTGGGGGATGCAGAGGAATTAGATAAATGACTTGATTTATCTTTCTGCCAGTAGTTGTAATTCACAACTGTTACTGTGAAACGTGAGAAACTAAGCAGAGAACATCAGCTCTAGTTTACTTAGAACAAGAAGAAGGGAAAGGGAAAACAATATGCAGTTTTGCAGTATTTAAGACACTTTTATGACTGAAGTGTGCTAATTAGGCTAAGTAAAAATGCACTACCATACCATTAATAAATAACATACCATTACCATTAATAAGTAACAATTAGAGACGAATTACCTGTTTCTATATGAACATTTTGTCAGGCTTAGTTATACATTTTTGGGTTTAATTAAGCACAAAACATTGGGTTAATTTATTGCTGTTCTATGGCAGGAAAATATCAAAAGATAGAAACCACAAACAAAATATTTCCGATTAAGAATTAGTCATATTCAGTTGATTAATTGAAAATTAAGGAATTTTGAGACCAGGGATGGTTAACAGCTGGGACACATCAAATCTTAGCTAGTCTGTGAGTGTGATTCACGCATCACGAAGCCAGAACAGAACTCTGTGTCCTCACAGCTCGTGCCAGGAGGTGACACGACACCACCTACGTTTTCCAGGTAGGTGTAGCTCCACACTTTGCCGTCGGCGAACATGCGCGACACGATCCTGCCCTGCTTGTCGATGTCCGTCCTCTCGCTCATGGCCCCGCGCTGCAGCCCGGCCAGGCGCCCGTTGAGGAAATAGGACACGTTGACAGCAGCCAGGCCACTGCTGGGCAGCCACAGGAAGGGCCGGCCCAGCTGGTCGTAGATGATGCGCAGCGTGAATTTGCGGTGGTCGTCGTAGATCTTCTCGGTGCGGATGTTGCGGTCGTAGTCGATGGACAGCAAGTTCCTGCCGTGCACCTGCGGGAGGGAAGGAGGCTGCACTCAGTGCGTGGGGTCTCATCATCCCTCTGCGTTTACAGCAGGCAAACAGGATGCCCAACAGGGAAATCCTCTGAGAAAAGTGTAGGGTTCCTGTTAACTGGCTTTTGCTTTCTACTTGGTACTGTATTCAAATAATTTTGAGTCTTACTGGGGTATTTCCCATCTCACTGTAATATGAGAGATGATATCCTAGAGTAAAAAGCTTCCATTATGGTCAGAGCAGACAGACATTCTGCACACCTCTGTCTTAAAGTGCAGAGAAACACATTATTTTACATGGAATGTTTTTTTACTTATTCTACTTTTCTACTTTCTACTATTTTTCTTTAATTTTTTGTGTTTCTGCCATCAATTTTTTTTCCTTTTTCCCTACAATCACTCTAAGAACAACAGAAGAAATTTTTGTCTCTTTATTGAGGTTTAGCCACTTGGCTTCTATAACTGCAACACCCTGCTTAGAATTCATTAATTTACTGCATTCTTAATTTACTTTCCAAATATTCAATAGATCCTTCACTTGGGATGGGTTTAAAAATCTTGATCATACAGGCTGGGAAAGTTGGACTTCTAGTGTTGAAAGCAAAGGTGCTAAATAATTAGGTGAAATATTTTTTTAATTCAAATAAAAGAGCAAAACAGAGGCAGAGGAGAATAAGAATGCCAAATGGGGAGGCTTCTACTGAGAGTAATATAATGAGAGATACATAAATATATTCATTGGGGGTAAGCCATAGAATTCAGGCTAATGCTGTAATCTGATAAAGCTTCTTAAGTAATTTAATTGTAGATGCATCATTAATAAAGTAAAAGTTTTTAAATTAGATATAATTTCAGAGCAATGACTACTTAAAAAGTATTCATCAATTTCTGGGAATTTGTTCTTTAGCTTATATTTTACAGTGGCTTTGATAATGCAACGTTTCCTCTTATCCAAAATTAAACTGTACATCAAACAATATGTAAATTAACCCTGAGCTTTTCTTGAGGACATAAAAGTTATTCTGAGATACATTCACTGGCAGGGGTAAACCCAATTCCCACCCCAACCAACTCAGTAGAAATTCAGTTATACAGACACATTTAAAATTAATACAGTTTTGTGTTTGTAAAGAAATAATTATTTCAAATTATCACTCATTATCCTAATTTTTTCCATTAATGAAATTAATCTCTTTAACAGTTTGCATTTCCTTAGTGGGCAATTACTAGGAAAAAAAAAGCTCTTTTCTGTAGGTTTTCCCAAAGGTTACACCAGGAACAACTTGCCCTGTGATTCACAGAAAAGACAGAGTATTTTTCTTAGAACACCTTGGGGCAAAACAAGTCATATTCTCCTCTCCCATTGCAATGAAAATAAAGCCAGGGAAGCCAAACTCAACATCAGTAGTTTCTCAACTGGTTACTCCTGCTTTGTAAGATCAACCTTGATGGCAGAGACATTAAAAAACCCTTTTCATAAGCAGAAGAGAGCTTTGACTGCTCAGAACCATTTAGCTATAGAATGAAAGGTGCATGACTGAAATAGCCCAATTTCTTAAGGTTGAGCAGATTTTCTAAAAAGAAAAAAAAAAAATCTTTCAGAAAGAATATGAACTGAATTTTAGCTTTGGGAGTTTTATTTGGTTTTTTGTAACTTCTGAAGCTTCATAAATCAGTCAGGATTTCTGGGTTCTGTTCCCTCCAATACAGTAACTGTAATAGCAATCTATCTGCATGAAGGAAAGTCTGACTCCAGGTATCCTCTCTTCTCTCAAAAACACTGTAACAGTTATTTGGTTTTGCCATTGAAAACAAAATTAGCAGGGTTTAAAAAATGATTACACACACAAGAGCTGTGCACACATGCAAACATCACTTGGACATGCACACATGAACATCACCTGCTTGGATAATTCAGTACCTTCATTTGCATTTGTAAAATAAGTAAAACCAGAGACTGTAATTGCAGTATCGTATTAATTATATAGAAACCCAAACAGGCTGACTAATTCCCACCCTTCCTGGGAACACTAAGAGCAGTCACAAGGATCACGACTGCAGATCACTCCACAAGGCCTTTCTCTTTTGTTCCCTACCCATGTGCCCATCTGGTTTTCCCTCAGCTGTGGCCTGAAGTGGCCGTGGGGACGAGCCCTTTGTGCCTTGGAAAGCTCTGGCCACAGCAATCACTTACATGATGCTGCACCATAATAAAAACTCTTCAGACAGGAATCTTATCAGGACTTTATCTGAAACTACAGCAAGACACTGAACGTGTCGTGCATCAAACAGCAGCAGACAGTGAGTGGGACAAGATAAAGGTGAAGTGCAGTTCCTTTCTCATGTTCATGAGATGTGCCCAGGCAGGTGTGCAGATTCCAGTGTGTGTGGCTGGGATGTGCCTGAAGTATGGATGGGCAGAGTCTGGGCTCAGGCAGCACCCCTGCATACAATCCATACAATCAGCCAACACTTTGGGTTGGAAGGCACCTGTGAATCACCCAGTGCAACCCCTCTGCACTGAGCAGGGACAAGTGGAACAGGCTGTGCAGAGCCCTGCCAGCCTCACCTTCAGTGCTGCCAGGAATGGGGCATCTACCACTGCTCTGGGCAGCCTGTGCCAGTGCCTCACCACACTACCACAAAAAACTTCTGTATAACTCCTTTAAATCTACCCTCTTTTAGATAAAGCTGCCACACCTTGTCCTATCACAACAGATCCTAAAAAACAGTCTGTGCCCATCTTTTTTATAAGCTCCCTTTCACTACTGAAGCACAATGGCATGGACTCCTTAGAGTACTGCAAGTGAAGCACTCAGCTAAGAGGTCAATCCCAAAGAATGCCCACCCCTCCAGTCACACTGGTTGTGAACTGGGGCTCCAGGAGGTGGCCCTGGTGCTCTGTCAGCTCTGCAGCAGTGCCCTGCTCTGTGTCACTCTGTGCCACAGCTGGCCCTGCCTGCCACCTGCTCCCCATAGCATTCCAGCACACTTGCTCTGCTTCCTTCACTAAACAATTTATAAAGATGAATTAGAATAAATGAGATGCAAATAAATTCTATGCTTTCTCCCTCGTTTTCAAATTTCATTTTCAGTCCACTCAACCTGTGATAATCTCATAGTGATTTTCATTTAAAAGAGCTAAATGGATATGTGATTATTGTTACAGGAACTAACACCAGACAATTAAATGTTGAGGTGTTGCTAGATAAAGCATTGTTTTGATTTGCATAAACATGATGCAAGAAAACCTATCTCATGCAAGGTTTCAGCACTAAGATGTGTTTAGCTTCAGCTAATTACCACAAGTATGTCTATTAAATTTTTAGCATTGAGAGTTAGGATTACTGCAATTTCATTTCAGCATCCTATTTATTTTTATTTTGAACAACACCTAGTCAAAATACAGAGCTGATCTATTTTCTACTTCCAGTCAACTGCTTCAGGTCAACACATCAAAAATCAATTACACAGCCATGAAGTTTAGTCATTAAGGATTAGCTGCTAATCTCATTCAATTTTTTTTGTCTAACCTTTCCCCTCTCCCCAATAAGTACATTCTGAGTATTGAATGTGAGTGAGAATAAGAAAGACTTGTTAACTCAACCCTGGGAATTAGATGCTAAGAATAGGAAAATATAAAAAATTAACATCCAAGTCATTATTTTTTTTAAATCACTACCTAATTGCTTACCTATATTGCATTTGCTATGTGACCTTGAACACACTGAACTGTATCTCGTGTTCAGTGATGTTGAAAGAATTGCTAAAAGAATGAGGACTTGATCAGCACTACATTTGTTTTCTGCACAGTATCTCAAATCCCGTCCAAAACTGCACATACTGAAGTAGTCCAGTCAAAAAAAATCAGTGAAAATCAGGCCAGCAAAGCACAGAATGGGACTGATCCAGCTGCAGCAGATCTTTAATTTGGCAGGGGATGGATTACATGGCCTGACTGTCTTCCTTATCCTGTGCTTATGATTTTGTAATTATGGCAATTATTTTCCAATTGTGCCATTTGGGAAAGGGAATAAACACAACATGCCTGTCTCAGTGAGTCTGTAGGGGGATTTTACAGCAGCATAATGCTGTAGTTGTGTTTGCTCCCCAGCAGCAGCTGGGGTAAGTCTGCCCTGGCAGTTTTACAAGTGGTGATGCTCAGATTCTCAGCCCCTTGAGAGGCAGAGTGTTTTGCAGCAACAGGGCAATGAAGCTGGGGGAGGCTCTAGAATACATATTTTGAGGAGTGGCTGAGGGAGCTGGGGGTGTTTAATCTGCAGAAAAGTTGGTTTGGGGGGATGTAATTGCTCTCTACAAGTCCCTGAAAGGAGTGAGCAAGTTGGGCATCAGTCTCTCCTGCCATACCTCAAATGGAAGGATAAGAAGAAATGACCTGAAGTTGCACCAGGGGAGGTTCAGATTAGAAATTTGAAAAACTTTTTCACTGAAAGAGAGCTCATGCATTGGAATAAGTTGCCCAGGAAAGTGGTAGAGTCACCATCTCTGGATGTGTTCAAGAGGCATTGGGATATGGCATTTGGGGGTACGGCTTGGGGCAATTATGGTGGGGCAGGGGTAATGACTGGATCTTGAAGGTCTCTTCCAACATTAATCATTCTGTGATTCTGTAATATTTTAGGCATTTTTACCAATCTCTTTTGGGATACTTTCAGTAACAAAGCTCTATAGCTGATTGCAGCAGATGATCCCATGCAGTCAACTCAGCTCTCAAACAGTGTCACACCAAAGACAATCTCAGAGTTTTACATTTTTAACAGGTAAAAGTAATGTCCTTCAGAATAAAAAAAAAAAATTAAATTCTGCCCAAAGAGGAAAAGGTGATTATAGTAACAACAGGTTTTACTTACCCTGAGCTTTCTTCCAAACACCGTCACTTTGCCTTTAATCTGCTCCTTCCTCAGGCGCCATTCAATTGAGTTTAAACCATTTTCCATGGGTAGAGAAATATTACATCGTCCTATGGTGGGAGTCACAGTCCCAGCCAGGACATGAGGTTCGCTGTGAAAGCTAATGCTCATGCCATTGGCATACATCACTCTCAAAGTACCATTATTACAGAGCTGGTAGCTGTTCCTCACTTGATCTACAGCAATAATGAAAAGAAAATAATTTAGCTACTCCAGTCATAAAGAAAACATATAGCTTAATTTGATTGGTTTTTTATTGCACTCCTGTTGATGTTAAATGAAGTCAGCCTGCAATTACCATTTACGTGGTACTATGGTGGAAATTACAGATGTTACTGATTCATGTAAAGAACAGTAGTGTAACAGTGAGCCTGCAGAGAGATACTGTGTTTATTTCATTATGTTTTCCCTTCAGTCTTAATTCTGAATCAAAATGCACAGTGATATGTGTTGAACCACGTAATTTATTTCTGATATGAACAAAAACTCCTGAAAACTGAACTGCTGGATAAACAACAAAGCATTAAACTCCAGGACAAAAAGAAAAAGAAGATGATTGCTGGACTCTTTATAAGTAGGAAGAAGTAAGTGCCTCTTCTTTTTTGTTTCCCTCTGTTTAAAAACTGTTTCCAAGCAGAGGCCTTGTACAGAATTATAGTGTGGCTTTAAATCCTCAAGGTGTGAGGCTCCAGCAGTGCAAGCTGGCATTCACAGTGGTTCCCTGTCCTGCCTCCCTGCCTCCCCACCAGAACCACACTGGCCTGATGTGCACACCCGGCCTCTGTAGGACAAGAGTTACATAAACAATCCCGTGCTTCTCTGGCCATGCAGTTCTCCAGCTGTTTGACACAGCCAAGTCCCCTCTCAGCCAGGACAGAGTGCCAGAGTGTGCAGCTGTCAGCAACACATCAATATTTGCCTGACAGAAGAACAGCATCTACGTAATTAATCATCTGGTCTAAGAGAAATCGAGTCTTTGTAACCAGACCTGTCATGGTATAATAGTCCATAAATGTTGACATTTATGTCAGGAGGAGACTATTGTTTGATGATGATATTCTCATTCCAGTGACATTATATCTTAATTAAAAAGCCCCATCACTCACCAAAACCCTTTCAGTCTGTCTGTGATAACTGACTTCACTCCATCAGACACAATGCCTGGGCGGCGCTGGAATGCTCTACACAAACTCCGAGCCTGTGCTGCTGCTGCCTCCTGCCACACTCGGGCTGGAACACTGCTCTTGGAAGGGCATCTCTGGCACAACACCATCCACTGCCCCGATTACACCAGTGATTACATTAATTACACTGCACTGTAATTAATGGCAGCGTATAAATTTAGGAGATTTTTTTCTACTGGAAGGTTTCCTCTGAGCCTCTCCAGAAGGATCACCCCCAGCTGCCATACCCAGCAGTCAGGTTGCAACTCTGTGGCACAGAAGTCAGAACCAATTTTGCAGGGAAGCACAGAGAAATATGCAAATGGATGAAGTGACCCGGACCCAGGAGGCAGTTGCAGGACTAACTTTCCCCAGCAGATAGTGACCATTCGTACTTGACACAAAGCAGGACTGTGAAATGGCTCTTACCTGTCCTGAAGACCTGCCATTTTAGGAATAAGTTTTATGGGAGTTTTCCTTGCAAACCTTACATATTTTCCCCCTGCTCATAAGTGTACTAATGACACGAATGGTTAGCAAATTGCTTTCTCAGGCTGTGTGTACTGTGGTTAGGAGGTGTGCTGAGAAGTGTGCTTTGGTACCTTGAACAACTGTATAGGAAGCCTCCACAGAGGAGAGATTTGTGATGACCGTGACATCGTCATCCCGATTAGAATTCTCAATGTCGATGGTAATAGACTTTTCCATTTCTCGATGAAGGCTAGTTACCACTCCAGTGGGACGTGTTACATTGGTCAGACGCCCTTCATGATCATAGCTAATAGAAAAGTTAGTGAGAGCAAAAAAGCATGAGGATATATGTTCATTTCAATACCCAATGTATTAATAATGCACCACATTTGTGCAAAAAACCCAGACTGAAACAGATTTTCAAGAACATCCTGGCCATATCTACTTCTCTGTTCTTGAAAGAGTCTTTAATGAGAAATGATATTTTTTAGATACTGATCTCAACTACATGGGTGTAAATCCAGGCTAGCATATTTTAAATTATTAAATTAATTAAAGTATTATGAATATATGGAGTGATATTTGGCTCAAACAATTATAACTAGTAAATTAGTCTGCATTTTAATTGTTGCATTTCACTCTAAGGAAGTGGACTTCTGATGGACACTGCAATAAACAATTGCATAAACTGCACATCTGCTTTTGAATACTTAGTGAAAACTAAGTATGGTCTTGGGTGACATATCAAGGAATAAACTTGCCATAAAGTATTAAAGAAGACGTCAGCTTGACAACATAATAATTTCATTTAGATCTTATCTGTGGTATTGAACTGCATTTTGGGGTCAGTATTTTGGCTCATAAAGATGAAAGATGAAAAGCACAGGATAGAGGTTGGAGTTGCACAAAGGGCAGCAGTCAGCACTCAGAACAGACCTTCGAAAATTAGTAAAATGCTCCACAGGCATAAAGATTAAAAAAAAAAAAAAGAAAAAAAAAAGAAAAAAAAAAGGCTTTCAATGATTTTATTTGGTTAAATTTCTTTAGAGGTATAAAGCCTGAGGAGGGGGGAAAGAAGGAATGCTGCTGGAAATCAAATCATACCCTTTCCCCCCTTTCCTGCAGCATGCTCTAGTTGTGTGCATACGTTTGCTAAAGAAGCAATCCCTTGGATCTTAGGGGTGAGAAATGGGAACCTGAAACAAAATCAGCATTCCAGTCTGACACTCTGCTCGCTGCAATTCTCTACTCGTGCAAGAGTCTCTCACCCAGCCGCTACCAAAGCACGCAGAAAGGCAAGAAAAAATGTCCTGTGCAGATAAAGGGAAAAGTTTAGGTAGAGGTTGAAACCAACTGGTCATCCTTGGAATGCAGAGATGCAGGGAGTTGGAAGCCTGGAAGAGAACTGGTAAATCCATTGCACTGCCTGAGAGTAACAGAAGAGAAGAGGAGCACATTTAGTATCATGGAGCTAGCTCAGTTCATTGCAGGCTGTGGTTAGCTGTAAAGATGAAAAAAAAAAAATCAGAGCTTTCAACATGGCTTTGCAATTAAAACACTCAGAAACCTCAGACTAGGCCATCTGAACTGTACAGCATATCTAAAAAATTAAGACACAGATTGGCTCCTCAGTTAAAACGAACAGAATATATGATTTTCAAATCCATTGCAAATGGTTGCACCCCTTCAACTGAATAATGGACAGGAAGGAAAAAATCACCTGTGGAGCAACAAGCCTTACCAGAACCAATGGTAGTATTAGGCAAAGAAGGAAATCAATAAAACAAAGCATCATGCGACCTAAAAGGGACCAATAATACATTGTGTTCATTTAAGTAGTTCAGGATCAAAGAAAAATTAAGCAGCATCATTTTTCTCAATCTATTCACAAGTTTCTCTTCACAGATACATATATATTTGTATATAGATATCATATCAGCAAGATACTAAAAATGAGATACTACATTGAGATAATCTATGAAGATGGGTTTAGTTAAGTCTTTATGAAGGTCTTCACAAAAAAGTATTGAAAAGCACTCCAAAAGAACAGGTAAAGAAAGAACTTGATCCAGCCAAGCATGTGTCTTGTAGGGGGAAATAAAAAGTACAAAAAATGGACAATTTCAAAAATCTTAAAGGTTAATAAGGCCCCTTAAGAGTCTGTATGTGGTGTGTTTCATGATGAGCAGAGTGATGAAGAGAACACTTGGATGTCAAATCTTACAGCACAGACAATGTTATTTAGGACAAACTAGAAAAAACTGAGTGTCTCCAGTGTGACTCTGCAGCACTCAGTGAACTTCCAGAAAAACGGCTGGTGAAATTCCCCATCAGCAAATATATTTTAGGCAATGCAAATGAGACATTAATTTAAACTCCTCATTCACATTGCTGGGTTTTTAATTAACCTAGGAAAAATTCCTGGGGATTGCTGTGGGCTACTCACTGGAAATCTCTATTCAAAGTGTAAGGGCAGTCTAAAAAGTAAATATGGATGTGGATGTACAGAGATTGAAGCAGAAAAATGAAAATATTCCAGTGCCATTTCAAGAAATGATTGTTTTAGCCTTGCCATGGGGTGTGTTCCTCAGTGCTGGTCATGGTTTTGAAAGCAGCAACATTAGAGATTAAAAGGCTTTATAAGCAAGAGATGGATACACTTAACAAAATACACACAAAAGTACTTTTCTTGAAGATCTGCAGACCATTTCGATTATGAGCTAGAGATATAAAAAATTCACTACCTAAATGATATATACACAGTGTGATACCAATATATAAAGAAGGCATTTTTACTTTGTCCATTGTATCAAAAATAAAATCTTATTTAAAAAATACCTTAAAGGTAAAAAAACTAAAATTAATATAACAGAAACCTTTTATGCACCACAAAATCTAAGTGACATATTCCTGAGTTTTGGTTTTTTTTTTAAATTAATGTATTACGTGAAAGTGAGTGCTCAGTAGAATACAACACCCAGACATTTGAATAATAAGAATAAACTATATATGAATTAAATGATTATGTACTTTATGTGATGAACCTGGGTCTAATGAAGTAAAACCCCAAAATTTACAACGAAAAATATATTAATTGACCTAGTGTCTTCTTCAGATGCAGCCTCTACCTACTGCAGTCTGTGACACAGCATCAGCCTGGATGAATCAGGTCTGATTAGGCAACTTTTACATTTTCAAATGAGGTGGGCTCTGGGTACACCGAAATTCCTGAGCTTTTGTTATTGACTTCAGTTACAGTAAGGCTTCATCCCAAGTTTTTCTACTAATAAAATGACATGGGCAAACAAGCTTTCTTTATCCCAGTACCTTAAAAAACAACAGACAACAGCATCTCCCCGCTGCTACCTCACCAACTCTTTGCTAACTGTGACCAAGACTCCCCTGCCAGCAGGCAAAGGTTTCCCAGGACAGCTCTGGGTGACACCAGGCACAAAGCTGGTGGCTGCCTCTGCCAGCCTGGTGGCTCTGAGCTGCCCTTGGCCACACCTATAGCTCAGCCTCGAGGTAGGACACCAAGGTAGCTGAGCACTTAGCACATTCTCAGGTAGCTGCATCCCTGCATCCCTTCAGTGGGCTTATGGCAGTGCCCTGAGGGCTGCTGGTCCTTGGCCACTACTGTGGCTCCTCTATTCCTTAGGCAGTTTTTATGGCCAGCACCCCAGTCTCAGGTTTGAGTCGTGCTCTGACAGCTCGTGGGTGCAGCAGGAAGGACAGGGTCATATCCAGCACTGCAGAGAGGAGGAACAGCAGCTTCTGACTTAACACAGAGCTGGGCAAGCCACAGATCCACACACATTTACATACATCTCTGTTTTCTCTCCCTTTTAAAACTGATTCAAGAAAAAAACTGCAGCATTCTCTCAGGATGCTCCCTAGACCAAGACAAATACCACTGGGAACTGCTTCAAAGATCTGTGCTTCATGCCCAAGCCAAGCTTAAATTACCCCATGTGAGCCTGCTGGTAGCTGTTCTATTATTGAAGAGCCTTGGCTGCTCCTACTGCAAATGAGCTGCATCCCCGTGCACAGATGCTATCTATAGAATTCACGTATGGAGTGTGCACACACACAAACCAGCTCGTGGCTGCAACTCTCTGCATATGCAGATGCACACCTAGATTAACTGTATAAATTTAATTCTGAGAGCATTTTCAGGGTAAAGTTTCAGCTAAATGATAGGAATATACCCAATATGATAACACAGCACTTCAGCGTCTGGTTGATATAAATGCACTGACATAAATTTTTCATAAGAACTTTAGCTCATGTAGTACTTTACCACTTAAAAGACCTCTGTTCTTTTCCAGTTCTGCTGCCATATTAACAATTTTGAGTGCTGATTATGTCTGTATGAATGCATGAATGTAACTGCACAGAAAACTGTTTTGTTGTCCTTATAAAGTCTCATTGGCTGAATACTTCTTTCATCTTCAATTGATATTAAGTTATAGCTACCTAAAAAATTGCAGAATGATGAATACAGAATTTTCTCTTAGGAGCTGTTTCAAAGAACATACAGAAACCAGAAACCAGTACTGGGTGACTGTGGACTGTGATTGTTTAGGTTTGTATATTTGACTTAAATAATGTGTTTATGGTTCTCTCATCTATGGGCTCTATGCTTATGAGAATGTATGGACAAATCTGGGAAAAATAAGTTATTTCTGCTGCCTCATCAAAGTTACTAATTATCTAACACAGTACCTCAGGCTGTAATATTTAGCTCTAAATATGGTATTTAACTTCCACTGACCTCAGGCAAAGGTTGTGCCTCTTTTCTTATTTGATCTTAGAAAAAAATCTTTAGCACTATGTACACATTAAATGCTATTTTCATCTGATCTCATCGATGCCCCTATCTTCTGTATTTCCTTAGGAATCATAATACAATTTTCCTAATGTTAACTTAGCACTCGGTGTGACTCTCAAACACCAATTTTACCGGTTTTGTAACCGGTAACTTTCTAATGACATTTCTTAATGTTTCATGGATTTCCACACAGAGTTTTAAATACTTCACTTATTAGTTTTCTATAATTAATTTCTAGTGTTTTGAGAAACAACTAACTGTATGACTGCATCTTGAGCTACCTATTGAGGAAAAAAAACAACAAAAAAATCTTCCTAGAAGGGCGTCCACATCTCATCAGCAATAATATGAAATTTTAATCTGTCTAGTCCAGTGAGCTTTTACTCGAGCTTTTAATCAGCAGGTCGTGTGGCCACGTAACTGCACTATTTGTGTAACGAATTTGTGGTAAGGAAATAATTTTTGCAGAATATAAAGGAGAAATAAGCCCCTGGGCACGTGAAGCCCCAGGCTGGAGGAGAGGCTGAGTGTGTGGGCATGCAGGGCCCCACGAGAGGGCACTGCTTTCCTTCCAACGGGAACCAGCTGCAGCATCCCTGCTGGGCAGGGCAGGCCTCCCGAGCACACTGAGCACAGCTCCTTCCATTCCTGCATTTCCTACGTGTTCTCTGAACAGAGAAAACAGGTGGCCCAGCTGAATGCATCAATAAACTAAGAGGTGTGCGCCATTGCTAGTCTGCGACCTTGAAAGTAAGCCTGCCATTTAAAATTAAATATAAAGCCTTATTCCTATTTTCTACTCAGATTTGGGGAATGGTATTTTTTAATCATTAACTAATTCAGACAAAATATATGGCATCAGTCTTGCCATACTTAAATATATTTTTCAATATGTCATTTAGCTTCTCTTTTTAAAATTGTTTTGATCAAAAAATGGCAATAAATCTACTAAGAACTGGATAAATATTAATAAAAATTGGACTAGTTTTTCTATATTTTTAATATCCTTTTGAACCTCATCTCTTCAGATGAATTTCATTTAAAGAGGAAGTTATGTCTATTTAATCTATATGCTTATGAACACCAGTGTGCTTTTGGGTTATCTACAAATTAGGGAACTTCCACCAGGGGTCTGACAGATAGCTGGGGATCTAATTTCTTCACTTGTCTCAGGAATGAACAATCATTGGAGTTAATCAACATTTTAACAACCATGAGTAATATATGAGGCTGAACAGAAAGAGAGATAATTTGAGTTCCAGAAGAAGCTGCAGCATGAGGGTTCCCAGAGAGAGGCAGCTCTGTGGGAGCTGCAGGGGGAGCACTGGGCTGCTCTGGCTGTGGGCTGTGGGCAGCTGTGCTGACCATGAACAGCAGCTTCACTAAGCTGGGGTTCTGGCCATGGCACACGGTCCTTTGTGCTGGGCGGGGATGAGCTGCCCCAAACTCAAACCCCAGGCAGGGATTTAGGGGGATCAGCACCCACCCAAAGGACCCGGCAGAACTGATGCCATCACAAAGCCACTTAACCATTTCCAGCATCACCCTGGACTGAGGTGAAATGGCCTTACTCAGTATCAATGAAAAACCTACAACAAATCGCAGCAGGGTCAGTCTAGAGCCTACTCACTACCATTTGAAAAATAAATGTACGCTTAATATATCCAAAAACATTCTTACTCATAAAATGTTGTCCATCCTGTTTCATCACTCTTCGTTGCTAAGAGACCACTGTTTCCATTATATGTCATTAATCCGAGCTCCAGGGTCTGTGTTGAGACCAGCTTGAGTCCACCATTAGTGCCAACAGCCAGCGTGACAATCTGATTATCCGGCATCAGTAAATGGCGGGGCATCCCACTGGCATCCCGGCGCACCTTCAGGGAGTTGCCATTGTTGTCCATCACCTCCGTGACATCGTTATCGCTGCTATAGGTGAAATTGTACAAGTATTCCCCGGTAACGAGGCTCAGAGTGTACTGGTGAATCCCATCAGCATTGAAGACATACAGCTCCTGTTCTCCTGGAGATGCAGCTTCATATTGGTTAAAGGAATTAAGAATGGGCCTGTTTTTACTGACAGCCCTAATGCGGATATTTCCGAGATCAGCTATGTAGATGGTACCATCTGGGGCCACAGCTAAGGAAGATGGTGAATTTAAGATGGCATCAGTGGCATACCCATCATCCCCAGCATAGCAATTACAGTTGACATCATTTTTGCAATCACAGTCTGAAGCTGCCCCTGCAAGAAGGCATATTTCTCCATTGGTAGTTACCTGGCGTAGCCGATTAATTTTTTTTTCATCTGTCTCACTGATGTAAAGAACTCCTGTGTGTGAGATGGCAATGGCACTGGCTGATTCAAGTGCAGAATGAATAGCCAGTTTGCTAAGAGAGTAGTCTATACCAGGAACCTGGCAGTGCATGGGGCGTCCAGCAATAATGCTAACTTGATGGTTTTCTGTGATCCGTAAAATAACATTGTTCTCTAGGACATAAAGGGAGTTGTCCATGGGATTGACAGCGAGATCAGTAGGCCACTCCAGCCGTACCTATGAGTTGCACAAATTATTACTGTAAAACTCGAAACTGAAAAGTACACTCCTAGTGCTTAAAATTCCACGTGTAACAACAGCAAATTAGTGAGGGGTTTATCAGCGTAAATCATGAAACCAAGTCATGAATGGCAACTATTTCAAACAAAATGATTTTGTTTTTCAGAAATATTAAAACTACGTGCAGTTGTAACTTTGGCTAATTGTGTTTCTGTGCAAGAATGAATGCTACATTGTGGAAGCTCTACAATAATTACAGAAAAACAGGCAATTAAGACAATAACTCCCATTATCGCAACCTTATTTCTCTATAGTTGCATAAATAAACTGTGTTAGCCACAGCAAAAAGGATGGTTCACCCATTTCAGTAACAAATGAAATATGTTATCATCTTGTGCTGCATAATGTATTTCTTAAGTGGCCAGGCAGTCATCCAAAATAGATGCCCATCACTTCTAAGGCAGAGAGGAAAATAAATGGAGTAAGAATCTACCTGGGTGACATCCATGCTGGAATCACAGCTGAGAGGTCGAACAGCAGTTAGGTCATTGGAACCCAGCAGGGTTGATATAATTCCGTTCTGATCCACTTTTCTAATCATAGTGGCATCAACAAAATACATGAGTCCATACTTATCCACTGCAATTCCTGCAAACACAAAACCCAGGCATCAGTGCAGCAGTGAGGCTGCTGGCATCAAGGCAGGTTTTGTCTTGTTTACAAGATGGTGACATTTGTTCACTTCCCCTATTCCTTCCTCCCTCCCAACCTGACCACAGGTCCTGGAACCCTCCAACAACCCACAGCTCTGCCAAAGAAATGGCATCAAGCAGGTTTATCCTTCAGGGCCTTAAAAAAAACACAGAAATCCCCAAACATGCCAAAGACCCAGCAGAACGCATCAGCTTATGTCTAGATTCAAACTCTCTGATATATTACATGAACTCAATTAAAAAATTCTCTCCTAATTTTACTCAGGAATTTGAGGAATTGTTTTCTTCATCTGAAAAATCTAATGAGCATGAAGAATTTTTAGAAATCTTAAAAAAAAAAACACCTTCACATTTTTTTTAAAACTAGAAGAACACTGTATTATGTCTGGATTTCTTTTAATTCTTTGACCTGTTGCAGTAAAAATACGGAAAGAACATCTGGTATTTCCAGATGAAGACACAGGAGTTGTCAGCCTAAAAAAAATGGAAAGGTTCAATTCCTGTCACACAGTAATTCCTTAGAGAGGAAAGGCACAGAAAGGAAGGGTGCTCCCTTGGAGGAACAGATGGATGTTGCTGCCCCTTGGGAAGGAGGGCAGCCTTTTTCTCACTCGCCTTTCCTGCTTTGATTTGGTGCACTGCCTTGTCCATTTCTCAGGCTGAAAATAAAATATTGATCTAAAAAAAATTTCTGGCTTCAAAAGGTTGCAGTGCTCATCCCACTGGGTGGTGAGAGAAGATACAGCTTCATCTTTTTAATTTCTGTGTGCTAACTGAAACTACTTACTATCCAAAGAAATTGGACTTTCCGTTTTTGTGTACTTTTATGTTCATCTAGTTATTTTCAGCCACTGAAAAAACCCAAAGATGTCTGAAACACATGGCAATACACCTGATTAATTTGTCCTTATAATTAAGATGAAACTACAGAGAAAAAAAAAAAAGCCTTGAAAAGAAGCTCATCCCCAAGTCACTGTATCTTCTTGAAAACTTTTTGTCAAAAATAAGAAACCAGAAAGGGCAAAAATCCTTTTATTTATTTTCTCTGACTCCGAAGGAGATACATGGACAAAAAACTCAGAGAAAAGCCACAGCAAGCAATATCTCTTACCAAAGAACTGCATCTCAAACACTAATCAGTTTCCCAGTTTACATGCTTGCTTCTTGGAGTGAGTGGTACCCTGCTAATTTGTGTTCTGTTCTCCTTTTGCAGCACTCAGTGCTGGGGTAATAAAGTTTGCTTTAACTAAACAAAGCACGAACACTTGCCAATCCACTGTAATTAAAGCCCAGAATAAAAATCACCGAGCAAGGAGTGATTTAATTGCCAGATGATTATTTCCACATCCAGCCTAGCTGCACACATTCATTTTCTCCGGCTTCTTTTCCTCCTTTACCTCGAGGGCTCATTAGGGTTGCATCCACTGCCTTCCCTCCATCCCCACATCTGGCTTCGTCAAAGGGCAGGCACTGCTCTCCTGTTCCTGCCACCACTTCAGAGTTACCAGCAAGGTCCTTCGTGCCCGTGAGGGACTTGACTTTGTATATCCGTCGGCTATTGGTGTCCGACACGTAGAGGGAGCCTGAAACAGGGTCCACGGCCAGATAGTATTTATGAGCAGGATTGTTGCTTTAGAGAAAAAGAAAGCATAAAACAGAAACAGCTGAGCAGTCTAGAAACTTCACAGGCTTTCAGAGCTTGGATACTCATCAGGCACAGAAAGATCTGGAAAGAAAGTCTGACACCTTTGTACAGAGGTGAGGTCTGAAGGACCATCACCTGAGGACCTGACTTGATTAGGGCCTGGCCAATGTTCAGAGGGATTGTAATTTTAAATCTCACTCATCCTTCTACACTGAACCTTGCACAGCAGAGCCCAATAAGCCAGAGCTGCACAGCAGTCTTCCCTCTTGATCTCTTTAGCCCTTTAGATCTGCTCCAGGTCAATTCTCTTCGGCTTATCTGCTTCCCCGCTCCCTGCTACCTGGTTTAACTTCCTTTGGAAGCAGAAGTCATAGGAGTAAAATCAAAGAATCAGCTTCTGAGTTACTTAGATTACACCACAAGATTTGTGAGGTCTTGTATAAATAGGAGGCAGAGGCATAACAAATTTATTTCTAAAGCAAATTTGTTCTCATTCATTCTTATCAAGAATCTCATTTGCAGCAGATGAAGTTGGTTCTATAACTAAAACCTGAGACCCCAAGTGTCCGACTTTAACTCCAAACCTTCTGTTATTGAAAAACTGGTCCTCAGTTTGTGATTGGAATGGGCGCTCATATGGAAAGCTACTTCTCTTCTGAAATATATGTTTTTTGACAGCTTGTCACATTTTGGAACTACTTTAGCAAATCATCTGCAAATTGAGAAATGTCAGTCTTCACTACATATATATATATATATATATACATTCACACACACAGAACTGCAGCGCAGAAATATTTTCAAAATCTTGCCTGGCTAGTTTTACTCAGTTTATTTGGATTTTAAGCATGATGTGAATTTTCCAGCCTTTGAAGCCTATGGGTGAGCATAAATAAGGTCAACGGTGGTTTCAAAGCATAGAAGACAAATGAAGACAGGGAGAAAAAAAATGAAGGTTACTTACCAGTAACCAGAGATATTTGCCTCCAAATATCCACACTCCTAGTTTCATGTGGCAAAAGTGCCCATCTCCAAGAGTGAGGATACACAGAGGTAAGTTATGATGGACATAAGCCATTTCTTGATCAGAACTGCTGAAACCATAATAAAGCCACTTTCGGCAGATGGATCCATCGGCACACCAGATAACTGGTGGTCATGACCAGATTTGGAGGAATGAGGAGGCCCCAAAATATCACTTTCTACAGTTATTTTCCTCTATGCCAGTCTTTGACATGCCATGGGTTTAGGTCAATAATGGTTTGTTCTAAGACTGTAGAAAGTAGGAAGGAGATTGGTTGGATCACAATTCAGTAGGCAGAGGCAATACCATCTGCTGAAGTCTAGGAGTGTAGAAATTAGAGATGAAGAAATACAATAAACAAAAAAATACTTGGCAGGTTTATTTCATGCATGGATCTCAGAGTACTTTAAAAAGATGGGTGTAGCACCCATTTTACAGAGGAGGAAACTGAGGCACAGAGAGGTTAAGTGGTGTAGACAAAGTTATGCAGGGAAACTAGTGACATGCTTGAGATTAGAGCACAATCTCATTATTCCCCAAGTTCCTCTCCTTATCTTCAGCAGCAGACTGCACCTCTTCACTACGCCCTTATCACATTCCTTCTCATCCCTCTAAAATAATGCTCAATCTTCTTTGCAACATAGAAAAATAGTTCTTTCCACTTTAGGGATTCCTCCAGTCTCTCAGATATCTGAGCCATACAAACACCTGCACGTTTGTCATTGCTTTGAAGCTCTGCTCTGTTCTCCCACCATGCTTTCCCCTTACACTGAAGAACACACTCTGCTGGGCTTGTGCTGTACTTCACAAACACACCCAAACTTAGCTTGAGGCTATCCTGCAGCTGGTGCCTTTTGCATGGCCCTTCTGAAACAAGGTACATCCCCCTCCCTGGCCTGAGGGGACCTGAGGCAGGCACAGACAGGAGCTGGGCACAGACACTGCTGCTTGCACCTGGAACTGAGGGTCCTGCTGGACTCAGCAGCCACCCGGCAGGAATGGAAGGATCTCTCTTGATTTCACACATGATTTTGCCAGCCTGTGCCCGCCCTGCCTCCCCTCTGCCCTCAGCCAGCCCTAGGTGTGCCCTGCTGCTACCAGGATGGGATAAGGCATGAGTCAGGGTAAAGAGCAATGGCAGAACATGGGGTATTTCCCTCTCCTCTCCTGCAGCCACGGTGCATCCATGGACTCACCCTACCTTTCTCCTCTGGAATGTCCCCCAGGGCAGTTGTGCCAGGGAGTCAGTCACAAGCTTCGGATCCAGATCAGAGAGCAGCTCACTGGAGCTGCAGACCTGCTCCATACTCCTTCCCTCTTTCCTGAACTGGGTAAGGGAACAGACAGTGGAAGACTCTAAGCAAATTTTTGAGGGAATTTGTCAGAAAATGACTGCTGGAAGGTAACATGCACTCACTGTGCTCCCAAAGAATCAATGAGACTATTACCTCAAACAGGGATTTGTTTTATAAATGAGTACTCAATATTTCTCAAACTGACATCTGAGCAATTGAATGCCTCTGCCTCTCTTTTCTCCACACCGTTGCAATCTTTCACTTGAATTACAGGAGGCCAAAGATTGCACCTTGTTTTAAAAGATTTTCCATGGCATTCAGTGTTGCTCAGAGGCCTCTGCCAATAATGTCTGAGCCTGCAGCCCCCCGAGTGAATGTGTGGTCACCACCACCCTGCCTCTGCTCTCTGAGGGAGCCTGGGGCCTGGCAGCAAGTGCAGCTCATTCTCCCTGTTCTTCTCACAGGTGCATCAAATTCTATTTCAACAGCAGCTTTTCTTTAAGTTTAACCAAAAGAGAAGCTGTCCAGAGCAAATCTCTAAGCAGATGAAAAATGAACTAGGCTTAGTTGAAGGAGCCTCCAGCATCACCAATAATCGTTAGCAAGTTGTGAATGAATTCACACAGATAAGAATAGTCAGGGGTGTTATTATGCCAAAATATATCGTTAAGGGGAAATGATCCTGTTTAGTCCAGACCATCTATTGCATCAACTTGTATACAGAAATGGAAAGTATGGTTTTAAAAGGGTAATGCACAGGACACTATGAAACAGATTACAAGAGCTCTTCTTGTTCTTGCCCTTGGTTTCCTCCAGGGTGAACATCCTCCCTGTCCCAGGTGTGGCATGAAAGGAGGAAGAAGTGTTTCCTATGCTGCAGCCATCCAGAAGACCTAGTGCTCTACTCCTAACATCCAGGAGGGTTATACCTCCCTCCTGAATCCCACAGTGACTGCTTCTAGTGGCTGCACACAGCCAGCCCCACAGGCTGGCTATTAAATGGGTTTGGCAAAAGAAATACAAACTAAATTATGGCAAAGGACAGCAGGTGCAAAAAATCATTAATGACCAGAGGATGAGTTTTTGACCTATGTGCAGTCATTAATGCTTTCGTGAACCTTTCTGGCATTTTTGAAAATGCTATTGTAGTTTACCTTGACCATTTCAACCAATTATAGACAGCAGGGAGAGGTGTTTATCTAGAAGTTAGCTTGGGGTTCATTATACTTGCATTCTACTAGAAATTTCTAATTACTGTCAGAACTTTTTGGCTGCTTTTTGACTGCATTTCGTAATTGCTAATGCTTATCATATTCATAACACACAATTAGCACATAAAAATGTTTCTATATATGGTACATGAAGAACATAACATTACACAAGAAGCACAATACAAAAAGCAAACACAATGAAGCAAACAAACCATATCAAATTATATGGGAAAGAGCTCATGTCTTACCTATGTTTAAACTCTTTATTTCTTTATAGAAAGGGAACAGAAGAAAAAAGAACAAACAGTTAGCTGAAGAATAGATGGTAAAGCAAACATAGTATTTGTTTTATTTTACAAAAGGACACAGGAGAAGGTATCTCTTTTCAGCACTAGCCTTAGCTTAGTTTACAGATGAAGAGTGACTGGGAGGGATAGAGCTGCAAGCTAATTCCCTATAGGACACCCCTGCCCCCACCCCCCTCCCCTCATATTTAGGAAACTTTCTGAACCACTGAAAGAATTTTCACATGGAAATACGTGTAGCTTGGGGGCTAGGAGTGAGAGAAACTGGCAGTTCTCTGAAAACAGAACTGGGCAGGGGGAAGCACTGGTTTTGGATATTGTCTGCCAGTTGGAGACAACCTCTTTAATCAGAATAGTTTTCCAACAGGCTATTTCTAGACAAATTTTTACTATGCAGTTTGTTTTTCTCTCCTCCCAGTCTCTAAAATAATAGCTTAAAGCAAGTTTGGATGCTCCTTGGTATCTGTTTAAGCCTATGAAAGGCAATGTTAGGGTAAAAAAGCCCCTTCTAAGTGAGCAGTAAAGTACTGTACCACGGGAGATAAACAGCATTAACTGATCCACAGCTTACTGCCCAGACAAAAGCCAAAGGAAAACTGCTCTCTACTTCCCACAAGAAAATGAACACATTCTCCACTCACACAGCACTTCACTGTGTTGATGTAATTTCCATTTAGGAATATGCACTGAACAGAGCAAAGAAGTTTGTGACTCCTGAGCTGCAGCACTCCAGGCACAGCCCCCACCTTGCAGCCCCAGTGTAAAGCCCCACATGCAACGCTGGAGTCCAAATTCCTGCTGGCCATTCCAACCAGGCACCTTTACAAAGGACAGTGTGAAGGAAATATGCACACTGGGATATTCTGACATAGAAAGGCACTCCAGATTTACAGGGGCTTATGTGAAACCAAAATTACATCAGCTGTGAAATCTAAACAAGGTGATGTATTTGGTTTGTAATACTTGTGGATGCACTGGTTGCAACATAATCCAAACTATTTGATATGAGCTGAAGACTCTGCTCTCATTCATACTTAGATGGCTCAAATCTTCAAACTCTTACCCATGTAACTCATGCAGATTTCAAGATGAGCAATGAATCACAATTACTGCTATAGATTATGTTTGCTGGAATAGACCTTAATTCCCTTTAGAGGAACGGGGGGTAAAAGACATCATCATGTAATCCTAAAGTCTGTAAATCCTAAAAATCTGTACATCAAGTTCTTTGTAGCTGTCCAACAGCACTCACAATGCCTCAGCTTCATTGTTAATTGTTTCTAGTTAAAACAGAAGATAAAGAAACTATGCTATGGAAAACAGACTTTCATAAAGGAGAAAATGGACAGCAGCAGATAAAAATCTGTCTTCTATTTCTTTACTGATGTCCTTCCCAATTTTCCCTCACACATGATGAAAACCCAAGGTCCTTCTCAATCTCTCTCACAGAGAGAGAAAGCAAAGTACTCACACTAATACTGTTGTAAATTCTGAGGCAGTATTTTCAAACATAAGGTGGGCTAAGGAACTGTCCCTGCTGGATATTAAGTGAGCTGCATAAAAATGCATTATAAGAAGTATCCTAATCTGAAAATGTTTCTCTTCACCTATAAAGCTGTAGTTCTATTTACTAGAAAGCTAAAAAGATCTGAACAACTTAGAAAAGATAATTAGCATGTTCTATATAATGCAGAGTTATAGTGCATATTGATATAAATATTTATAGCAGGTCACACTTCCATGCCAGCTACCTTCTGTGGTTTAAACTGAGCTGCTAGCAGAAAGCACTGGATGATCCATGACTTTCAAAAAAAAAATATAATGAGGCAGCCTGATGGTGTATGAGGTAGGTGTCAGAGAGTGATTTCAGAGTTGAATTGGCCTGAATCAGATCTCTTTTCTTTTCTATAGAATCAGAATCCACAATAGTGACATCAACAGAATGACATGAATGGAAGAGAGGTGTAAAATAGAGCTAGGCCTCCTATTCTTTAACAGTCCAATCATTTTGCACTTTTTCCCACTAATTAAAAACTAAATGTGGAAGCAGAGGGATTGGTTATTGGTCATATCATTAAAAAAAGATTTGTGACCTAAATTCACTCAATGTACTTTGCAGCTATATCCAATTTCCAGGAGCACCAACTGCCTGAGTGGGCTCCAGGAGGGCAGCAGACAGCCAGGGCATGCTCTTTCCCCTCATTTTTCTGCAAATACTCAGTAGTGCTGTAAGTAAAAGGTCCAGTTACATGAGTTAGGGTTTGAAGCAATAGCTCTTGCCTCTCCTAGAAGAATGAAAAAAGGAGATGGAACAGAAATGGGTGAAGTGGTACATTCTACACTCATGCCTTCCCTAATAAGTGATCAAATCTTAAGGTTGGAGGGGGGCACGGGACAGGGGGAAAGAGTTACAATCTTAAAAAGAGTTCTGATGATGCAAAATGACTGTGTGTCAACCTGAACTGTACTTGTCAACCTACAGAAATAGACACAAGCATGGAGAAGAAATGTGAAAGTGGATCTCAAAACCACTGTCAGGAGAACCTTCCCTCTGACCTCATGAGACTGTTACACCTTTTCCTGTCGCTGTGGCTCAGCACCTAAGGGCAGCCAATTCCAGACTTTTCAAACAAAACTAAAAGGTGCACTGAGGGAGGACTGAATCAGTGATCACTAACGAGACAGAAAGAGATGGTTCGTCCTTTCTGTACAAGTTACTTTGTACTCTTAACTCCTTCACTTTAGTCACTGCTCTGGTAAGTTACAGACTTTGAACTATGCATTTCTGTGCCCCATTTCTCCACTGGAATTTAAATAGGTTGAAAGTGACAATGTTTTTCAAAATTATAAAAAGTAATGGCAAAGGCTGATTTGAGCACAGGCTCCAGAAGCAGAGTGCTGAGGTTAAGCCTTACCTCAGCTCCAGTATGCTCGTGACATTCCTGGAGGGGAAGATACGCCGAATATAGTTAAAATCCCCAACAAAGAGACTTCCATCAATACCCACTGCCAGTGCTACAGGGGCCAAGAGCTTATTTCCTTCTGCCAGGCCATTGCAGCTCGGACAGGATATGCTTCTGCGGCGCCCGTTCCCCATAATGCTGGTTATCACAGCCGGCTGCTGAGTGAGAAACTGATTTTCTCCGTTGCCTTTGTGCAATATACCTAAGGACAGAGAGGACAAGAAGTGGTTATTACCACTATTCATTGCAGGGGACTTCAGGCTGTTTTCTTTTCAACAGCTGCTTTTAAGGACTGTACATTGACAGGACTCCGGTGTTTAGTTTTTCAACGATGGATAAAGAGCAGAAGGATTTTGCGGTAGTAAAAATAAAGGTGTAATTTATTCAGTGTTCAAACCCAAATACATACATAGCCACAGACCTACACTCACAGAGTCCTTTGGTATTCATGATGAAAGAAAACCCTGCCACACAGCTCTGGCCTGGGACTGTGGTTTAGATGGGTTTCTGAGTGGGTGGAGAAGAGCTGTTCCTTATTTATGTCTCACTCCAGTTTCCTGTATCATGTTTTGTTTGGAATTCTGTGCCAACCTTACTGTTCTCTTTCCACCTCTCAGTCTTTCACACTTTTTTAATGGAAAATGAAAAATGAGAAATGGAGGCACCAGAGAAGATGATAGCTCAGAAAATGAAAAGATAGGAGAAAGATAAAACTCCCAGAAGGGCTGCTAAGGATCAGTGATGAAAGGCAAGAGGGAAGCTGGTGGTACAGATCTCTATTAGACTTTAAGAAAATACCTTCAAGATAGGATTTATCTTCAAAATATTTGTTCAAAGAGCAGAGCCCTGCTCCAAGAAGGGAGTGGATTTTCTGACAGTGTGACCATATTTTGTGTCATCAAAAACAGGAAATCTGACTGGAAACTTTCAGCCTCATGTTCTTGTGAGAATGAAGTTGTATAACCCTAACATAACTGGCTCCCCACTGGTGGCAACATTCTCTGTTGGCATGTACTACCCAAATGTGGATCCACTGCCCAGCACTGGAAGTGAGTTCAAATAGCCTGATCTTGCCGATTCTGAACAATACTTTAGATTTATTAAACAGAAATGCACTTTATTATTTGGTAATGATCAGCAGGAAGGCTGCAAACAACACTTGGCAGGGAACAAATGAAATGTATGCTGAGCATTCGGCTCCCCAAGAATTGTTGGTAAAATATAAAAATCATGAAGATTCAGCTTAGGATATGGAAAGACAAAAGAAAGTGAGGAAATATGAACAGGTGACTAGTGAGAAAGACAAAGGAGACTCAGTATCTTGTCACAGACTTGTACTCCTTGTAAGCTCCATCTCAGGTTAGGGGGAAAAGGAGGTCAAGCAAAAGGAGCCAGGAACAGATTTTGTTAACATGACAAAAACGGGGAAGACAGAAAGATATTACGGGGAAAGAAACGAAAACAGAACAGAGGATAAAGATTAGGACTTTAAGAAATTCAGGCTGTGTACAACAGTAAAAAATGTGTTGAAATTCTACAAAAATTTTCTGACAACTGAAATATGCCTCGTACCTTACTGAGCTAAAGATGAAACAAAAAGAGTGGAGAAATCACATTTTTGGAAGTGTAACTACAACACAAATAAAAAATCCATACAGGACAGCAAACACAGAGAATTAACTAACTCACCACTCTTGACATTAAGTACATGATGTTTATCCAGAGACCATCCTCCTAAGTTTGAAGGATCCAGTTCAAATCCTTGCAGCAGTGCTGTCCTCTTCTCCCATAAAATGAGACTGGGGCAAGTCTCATATTCAAAACCCACAGACACTGAAATAAAATAAAATCTAATATACTTGCTGAACAAACACTGAATTAAATGTCCAGAGCACTTTCAAGTCATCAAGTATTCCAGTCCCCCAGCCCCCTCAAGAAGATGGAGTGATTATATTCCTCACTTTTATTCTACAATATTATATTCAGATCTTTGACTAGACACAAATTTGAAACTTCATTCACATGTACTCTGCAGGGATCTGATCACTTCTATTTTAATAGCTCACACTGGGAAGTGATGGGTTTGCTGAGGGGAGAGTGAGAAATAAAATTTTTAAAATATAGTAAAATTATATTAAATAATTGAAAATATCAGACAGCAGAACAAGATAAATTCTTAATTTGCCAGATGTTCACAGCATTTATTTAATGTATTCATTTTATATACCATATACCAAAGGGCAGTGAAAACTTCATGTGCATGTAAGCACAATTGTACTGTAAGCATTACACAGGAAAGCAATATCCCATGAAATAACATAAAAAGAAAAGCTATAGCAAAGAAGAATTTAGAAAATATAGAGAATAATTAAGATTAAAAAAAAAAAAGCTGCTCTTTCCACACTGGCACAGCTCTGATGCTCATTTTTAACACTGTTGTATGAAAATTATTCAGTCAGTCAATGAAAACTGAAAAATATTATGATGATCACTCTTCTTCCCACCCACTAGAACCAAGCTAACTAAAAATAGCTGTACTGAACAGCATTAGAGGAACAGCATTTTCATTTCAAATGTGTTATACCACAAGAGACTACAATAAGAGCATGTGTGAAAACCCAAATGCACTGCAGACTGTCAGCCAGTCCAGCATGAGGATCATTTTATAACTAAAGAAAATAAAATTGTAATGATGGATTAGGTTTCACCTAAGTTCCTGTGGCCAGTTTTTCCTATCGCCCGGTCTAAACCTTCTAAGTCAGGTACTGAGCAGGAAACCCAGGCATGTTGATAGAGTTTAGATCCTTTGAATATCATCTTCAACATGGAAAAGAACCATAATACAATGATAAATTGTGTCAGGGAGACAAGAACTGTTCAGTCTACATTTTTTTCTCCCATAAGGAAGTTTGCAGTTTTCTTATTTAGAATTATACTATTACTTGGAAAGTTTTGGAGCTTGTATATGCTGACTTACCTACAGCATCTGACAACCCATAAACCTTCTGACCATAGGCATCTGTTTTGTCCCAGATAAATGTATATGCCAAGTTGGGAGATGCCTGAAATGATTTTTGGAACAAATGCCCTTCTACTGCTACCATCAAATGGACTTTGATCAGATTCAGTGGCACAAGTGTCTGAGTCATGATGATCTTCAGTAAGGATTTGTATCCAGCAGTGCGGGAACTCAGGTAGCTGAGCTTTATACTAGAGCCAGGGATCTCAATTTCTTCATGAAGAACCTGGGTAGGAATGAGATCAAACACTTTACATTAATGATTTTAAAAAATAATTATCATCTTGTGTACTCTTATGAACTTACGTCTTTCTCTTACTGGGAGTGGATGTCTTTAAACCAATGCAGTTCAGCTGACATTTCTGACAAATAATTACTTGGTGACTGTGTACACATCTTTTTAAGAGCCCACTGCTGGCAAAAAGGCAAATAAGCACTAGCATTTTTACTGCAAGTTATATGCAAGGGAAACATAAGAAATATCATAGGAAGTCACAACTTCCACTAACAGTATAAAGCCTAACTGAATACGGCAGTGAAAAAACAGCACCAATAGAGCTTGCCGTTGTCCCGAGTAAGAAATAAAGGTACAGTCTGTGGTCAGCATCACATGCCAAGCCTTTGCAAAATTCTCTTAAAACACCCCAGCTGGCAACTGAAATACACAGATATACTTGATACATTGTATGAAAATAGGAGGGTGCAAGGTGATCAAAGTTAAATGTGTCTGGGTGACATAAACCTGGGATATCTCCTGCAGCACTCATTAGAAAACCTGGTGCCTGCCAGAACAAATGCAGCTCTGCAGAGACATTTACTGTAGCAATTGTAGGGGACATATGGTGGCTCAGATCAGAACTGTCACTTGACCACTGATTTCTGTACCCTTTTCACTCCCACTGTTCTTACCTGGGTTTCTGGCACAATGGGATTGCGGCTGGGAGCGTCACTAAAGAAAGTTGAAAGTGGTGATGAAATGATGACTGGGTCAGGACGGACAAACCCACTGAGATCACAGCTGGGAATGGAGTTCTCCTCTGTCTTCATCACCAGTGTGTCCATGGCATAGAAGCTGTTCCATGGCAGCCACACTGTCCTTTCCTGGCTCATAAATGGGGCCCGTTCAAAGTGCAGCGTCAGGGATGCTCCACCATTTGCAACCAAGTCAAACCTAGAAAAGTGTGGCCTTTAGAAGGGACAAGACTGAGTAATTCCAGTAATACCATTCCTGGCTAATGGAGACAGCTATAGAGCCATACCAACAGTGAGGGGTATTTGTCTGATTTTGGCTGGGATAGAGTTAATTTTCTTCCTAGTAGCTGGTGGAGTACTGAGTTTTTGATTCAGAATGAGAATAATGTTGATAACACAGGCATGGTTTTATTACAGCAGAGCAGTGCTTACACAGAGTCAGGGCCTTTCCTCCTCCTCACCTCATCTCACCAGGGAGCAGAATGCAGGCTGGGAGGGGACACAGCTGGGAGAGCTGACCTCAACTGAACCAAGGGATATCCCAGATCACACAGTGCCATTCTCGTAATATAAACTAGGGGGAACTGGCTGGGAATTAATTTACCTTTCTGTTGTTTTCCTTTTCACTACAGCTTTCATAATTATTATTCCAGTTACTGAATTGTTTTTATCTCAATGCAAGATTTTTCTTACTATTACTCTGGTTATTCTCTCCTCACACCACCAGAGGTGGGAGAGCGAGCAGACCATGATTATGTTTTAAATGTCATGGTTCCAATGATCAATAATGGGATGTGAACCTCTGGCAACTAAACAGCTGAAAACCGGCCAAGACAAGCAATGATTTGAAGTCACCTGGACAAAGCTCATTCTGATAATACTATAAATTCTGTATTAAATAATTTAAAAAATACCCAACAAACAAGCCACCACATTTATTATTACAAGTCACCTTTATATAGAAACAGCAGAGAAGCCAACTGCACTCTGAGCTGGTCACCAAATTATCCCTTTCCTAAAAGATCCTGTCCATCAAACATAGAATGGGGCACATGGCAGTAAGAGAACAGTAATGAGAAGTGTTCTGCAAGTAAGAATTCCTGTTCCCAAGATAACTGATCTATCATTTTTCAGAGAAATTGGCTGGGTGTTTACTCCCAGCCCCCTACACAATCACAGCAGTAATGTGGAGCTGCACAGGTATTTGAAACCTGGCTTAAATGAGAAATGCTCCCAGGCTGTTCTGACGACAGAAACAGGTATCAGTTGTTCTATGTAAATGCTGGCAATGTAACAAATTACTCAATGACGTCAATTATCAATGCAGATTTAAATATAGTTCAGCTCACCATTTACTGCAATTTTAAACCACTGAAATCAACATTATACCTTTATTATAACAGATTAATATTATGGAAAATATGAACTTAAATACTCCCTTATAGTTCAGTTGATTCTTGTTAATTATATAAATTCCATTGTATTTGTGCAAGATTAAGATAAAATGGCAAATGTTTACAATGTCTGTGTCAGATAGACTTTTAGTTACCACAGCCAGTAAACCAGATAAACCATGACACACTGACTTTTGTTTATCTGAATTTGTGTGCATTTCAAATAAGCTGATACAAGGGGGGAAAAGCACTTTTTTGCACAGCAGGAAATTGTCTAAATATATTCAATTAGAATCTTTTGATTACATTCTACCCTGAAGAAACTCAAAAGAAAGTGTATCTTCAAAAGCAAAGAGAAGCAGAAGGGAAATTTTAGCAAAATATACTATTCTATAATGATGCTTTCTTTTTTCCTAGAAGTGTTAGCCTGCTCTGCATTTTAAAATAAAATATTTCTTGTCTCAGCTGGATATTGCTGTAGCCCACAAATGTTTTCATAGATACACAGCAATTTCTTTGAAAGGAGTCTGCCTGCTAACATCATTATCAGAAGTCAGCCTGCTCGTATTTACATGCAGTTAGTATTCAAAATGCCGTGTGAAAAATTACTTTTGTGTTTACTTAATAGCTCTTTGCCCTGGGAGGAAGGCAATGCCTGGTACCACATGGTTCCATTAGATCACACCATCTGTTAACCAGCAAAGACACTCCACAGCAAACAGGGGCTCAGTGGAGCAGGGACACTCACGTGCCATCCTGACGAGTGATGGTGTAGCCGTACTTTGGATACTTGACAAACGACACGTTGACCCCAACTAGAGGAGTCCCATCTGTAGTCACCACTTGGCCTCTTATGAGAGACACAAGACTGAAAAAGAATTGAAGGTATTAAAGCTAATTACAAAAGTGGAGTTATGTAGTTTATAAGTGAAGTAGTGGAACACTCGTACGTCATTTACTCGAAATGCAGTTTACTCCAGAGGTTTGTAAAATACTGAGGGACCACAATATTGCTCCCTCCATACACCTAAATCAAGAAAGTTCCTGTGTATACAGTGAGAAGTGTACACAGAATGGCAGTCACTGCTTTTCTTGCCTAACAAGGGTTTGCCTCGTTGTCCAACAAGGCTTTGCAGAGTACAAAGCTCCCTCGCATCCAGCCAGGCCAAAGCTGTGCCCCTGCAGCCACACTCAATCTCCAAAACCTCCCTACAGGGTACAAAGCCACGCCTGTGGGTGCCTAACACACTTGACAAACGTGCTGCAATGCCACGTTTCTGTTTTATACGACCAATTCTTCATGTCAAGGTTCAAATTTCCTCATCTAAGGGAATGACTGATGTTTGTACACTGCATTCCAACCTGATTTGGAACCCTTGCTTGCACTTTGCCAAGAGGAGGATTTGGTTTAAAGTCCAGCTTTACACACAGGCAAGAAAAAGTGTTTCTTTGGCCAGCAGGATAAGCAGCTTTGTTTAACCTAAGGGAGATGAAGATGAGCTATTCCTCTAAGAGGCACAGTCAGTTTTTTCTCTTTGGCAAGTGCTTTGTGCTGTGCTAAGTGCACAGCAGGCATAAAGTGCTGCTGCACCCAGCTGGAGATGAGTTTCCAGCCCCTGGCTCCCTTCCCTTCCATCTTCCCTGTACCCTGAGAGAAGCAGGTTGGGGAGGGGGGAAGCTGTTTGGTAAAAGGGCAATGGAAAAGGAAAAGCTCTTTGTAGATGGCTTCCATTGCTACACTGGAAACATGAAAACTGGAGAAGGTGAAAACAGGGAAAGTGAAGTCCTCATAATCTCAGGGACTGAAAAATCATGCTTTGCTGTAGTCATGGGTGAAAAGATTTATACATTCATCAGTCTGTGCTTCTAGCAGGAGCCACCAACTCTGCTCTGCTGGCAGACAGGGAATGAAGAGCCCCTTCCCAGCAGGGCTGGGGCTGCTCCCGAGGCTCTGCAGGCTCCAGGCACAGCACCCTGAACCAGGAATGTGCGGCCCCAGGCTGAGCTGGACTGGGGGATTAACCTGGGCTGAGCTTTGCTGGACACTGACAAATCCTGCTGGGCTCTGGGAGGGCCCCTGGCAGAGAACAGCTCCTTCCATCTCTCACACCAGGGATTGTTTGCCCTTTTTGTTTTGGTCTTTTCTGCCCACTCTGAGATGTTCAGGGGCTGTGAAGTACATCTCTAACTGCGCTATATCAGCTATTTAACAACTATTCCCTCATATTTTTATTCCAAACAGGGTGCAATATTTTCTTCAATATTCCATTTTAAAAATCAAATTAATAAAAACGAGCCATTTCTGTTACTTTTCTTTTAGGACTTTCAAGTGCTTCTTGACCCTTCAGGTCAAATTTTAATTTGCAAAATCAACATTTTGTAACAGAATATGGAATTTAATAGAAATTGAAACCTGTTGAGAAAAATCTGCTTAGGAACACATTGGACCAAGATAATTGTCTTGGCATTATTCATTTTGCTTGAATTATTTTATGTGACAAACACACAGAAATAGTTGCAGGAAAAAAGTCATTCAAGCTTCTCTAGGGAAGCTGTGCAGAAAGTAGATTTAGAAAGAAATCGTCAGAGGGCAGAAGAAACTAATAATGCCCATGACTTAATTTTTTCTACATTCAATTTTAATATTTCAGGAAATAATTTGAATAAAATTATTTGGTCAATAATATTCCTTTTTATTTCTAAAATTCTAAATAAGGAACACAATGGATATTAGAATAAGCTAAAAGGTAGCTAAAATATGGATTTATAAGAAGCAATGTTTTGACTAATAGTCACACATACAATCACCTTTCTTTGGTAATCTTTTAAAAGTGTAACAGACAAATTGAACTGATACAAGAATTTTTTTTTTTTTACCAAGGAATTTAAATGTGTAAAAACATGTAACTTCTTTTTCCCTGAAAACTTCATTTCATCTTGTTTCTGCACAGAAGATGATTGAGATATACCTATTTTTGTAAAAAAAAAAAAATTGTTATTTATTGCTTTAGCAATAGAGTAGGAAATAACTTTTTTTCTTATACTAAGTCTAGGAAAAAAACCCAAACCATTATTTCCTCCCATTTTTTCAAGTCTTTCAATGGAATGACAGACTGAGCTAAGCAAACAGCTTACAAACATGGGAGCTACTTTTAGAGACAATGGCAGCTTCAGTACGGAAAAGTTGGGAGCTGAACTTTGTGGCACTTCTGAAAAACAAACCCATTAGTTCTAGAACTTACAGTTTGACACTATACATTATATTTGCCTAAAATTGGTACCAAAATAATGGCTGAGCCATAAAATTATCAGAACTACCTTCAAAATTTAGAGGTGAAGGCCAATTTTCACACCATTAATAGGTCATTTGCAAAGATGTTAAAATCCTCAGTGTGGCTCAGACGAATATAACAGAACTAAGACTCCTACCATGAGGAACATTAAAAAAAAATTCTAAAGTTTCCAAGTAAGTTTTTCTTTAAAGGAGCCTCAGGATTGAAATGCTCAGCTCCTGTTTAGTCTAGAGCACTAATTCATAGAATCACAGAATGGGTTCGAAGGGACCTTAAAGATCATTTTATTCCAACCCCCTGCCATGGGCAGGCTCATTTTCCACTAGATCAGGCTGCTCCAATCCCTGTCCAACCAGGCCTTAAACACTTCCAAGTTTAAAAGAGAAAAATCACCACAAATTTAGGTGAAAACAGAACCAATTTTTTTCTATGCTTTTGAACAACTCCATGTGTGTATGCATGGAGTATTTTACAGAATAGCATAAAATCTATTTTACATAGAATAGGATCCAACAGGGGTTTCCTGATGTAATATGGAAATGACTGTGTGCAGCATAGGGGTGAGTACAATGGGGACCTGCTTGGTGTATCCAGAAATATTATGATCCTCTTTTCACAGACAAATATTTAGGGACATGCTCTGCATCACTCACTAAGCCTGCAATGGGATCCTGACTGAGAAAACAGTTTCCTGTAATGAAGTGCAATCTTTTGGGTGTTATCCCCAATGAAGTCGTTTCTTCAGTTTTAACTTTGTTGATATGAACATAATTAATATACTCATCAATTTATTACCATTTTTCCTTGGAGACCTCTTTATATAGTACTGATAAATACCAATCTTCTTGTAAGCATACAATGGCATCAAATATTAATTAATGATGTTCTGGCTTTTAGATTCATTTCAAATATATAATTAATAATCTCAGAAAACAAGCATAGAGAAAGAAAAAAACAAGAAGAAAAAGAAAACCTAGTCAGGTGGATCAATGCTACAAGTAAAATGGTTTTATGTAAGGAATAAATAATAAACACTCCATAAACTGATGGATCTCTAAAATTATTTGAAATGCTATTCCATTATTGAAATTTGTGTTAATGGCACTACATTAAAAATTAACTGGAAACTCGTTGGTGTTTTGCCTTTCTCAAGACAGCAGTCTTCATAAAATACAAATCTCAGAAGCTCCTACTCAGTGGAAGAAACCTTCCTCTGGGCGTTGCCAGAATGTTAAAATGCTAATAAAACTCAGCGTTATAAAATAGAGGCCACACCATAAACGGCAACAGCGTGGCCTCGGTGTGCTGGATGCCTGAGGTGAAGCACCTGCAGGCAGCACCTCCTGTTAAAACATGAATAAAATCGCTGGCAGAAATTTTCCCATTCTGCAACCACCCAGAGCCGGTGTCACATTCCCAGCTGCTGCTGGCTGGGGTTGGAGGGGTTTTCTCTCTCACCTGCTGTTGAAGGGGTTTTCTCCGGGGATGATGTGGGTGCTGTCCTTGCCCACCAGCAGTTTGATGCGGTCGTAGAAGGATTTGACGGCGGCAGTGCCGGCGTGGCTCTGCTGGATGATGTCCAGCGGGTCCCGCGAGCCCCGGCACAGCAGGCTGTTCTGGCAGGTGGCCTGCAGGCAGCAGTCGGGGTCCAGGCAGTCCACCAGGCCATCTGAAAGGTAACAGGCACGGAGATCCTGCTCAGAGCTAGCTGGGGAGCAATAATACCCATGGAAAGAAGAACTGGGAAGAACTGTTAAAGTTCACTCTCATACCATCCCTGTGCCCTAAACCTGGTCAGTCAGCCAACAGTGCCATGAGGATGATGCTTTTGAGAACACTACTTAAAAACCACTACAGTTAATATAAACCAGCGTTTGATGAGAATAAATCCCAAGAAATCTGCCAAGGGCTGAAATTAGGCAAAAAGAAGTGGAAACAATGAAGGAGTTTTGTTTAGGTTATTTGCTTGCTTGGCTGTTCATTTTTGTTTGTTTGTTTTCTTTTTGTTTTGTTTTGTTTTGAGAATTATGCTGTTTAATTTCATTTGTTCTGCTTGAGGAGCTGAGAGGAGACGGGGATGACAAAGTTATTATTACCAAAATAAAATACAAATTCCACTGTAGCCATTTTGGCAGTTCCCAGGGCAGGGCTGCTGGAAGTCCCATCCCCCATGGACACCTGGCTCACAACTTGTGTACATTCTTGGATAAGGAAGGATCACTCACAAAGTTGGTGGGTTCAGTCATCATATTATAGATAGGTTTTCCATCAAGAATATTTCTTAAGATGCATTTTAAAGAAAAAACAGAATTTTAACACCAGAAATTAAAAGGGAATCAAGGGGGAGATCAAGCTGTATACTTGAGATAAATAACAACTTTAGCACATACAGTAACAATTCTATCAATCATCTCTTCATTTGGTATCATAATTTAACTCTCCTGAATATGTTCTCTCAATGGAGTTCTACTATGACTTAGAAATTAATAACCATTTGCTTTAAATTATTATCATCTCTAACAATTCAGAAATATTTGTTCATCTACTCTGGCAAGAATCAGGAATTCAATCTGCAATCTACTTATGTC